TTGAAGAAGCAGAAAAGGTTTTAAACAACATGACCGAAGGTAAGTGTGGAGGCTGCATTGGCTGGTATGGACACAACGAAAATGAGAGCAATTGCGATAGAAGCTGTCAACGACTCGGACCTGTCACGCAGAGCGGCAATTGCAGCTTACGTTGCTGAGGAGAATGGGGAAATTGGTGTTAAACGTGTGAACGGAGCCATTGGGCAATTCGATGCCGCAGTCTATGCTGCTCAGAAGAAGGAAAAGAAGATAGACGGCGTTCTCATGATGCTGCTGATATTCGTGGAATAAATACAAAGGAATTGCCACTGCTGCTGTTGTTGATCTCTCTTTGTGTGCTGAGCACTGTGGTGGGGACCCTTCCAGAGAGTGTTGGCAATCACTTGTTTACTGTTAATAATATATTTGCTACTGTGTTTTTGTACATGGAGCACTGCGAAAATTAATCCTGATGACACCCACTGGAATGAGGTGCATCAATTTGTGTGTGGGAATACTTAATCTCTCTTTTCATTTTTATACTTGTAAGCAGAGCATTGCTGTGCACCTTGTGGTGTGTCTCACTCTGCAATTGTGTGGTTCTGGTAAATGATATCTCTTTTCTTTTTTATTTGCTTTCACATTGTTTCGGAGCGGAATAACATATAATTTACTTGTTACTATGGGGACACTAATTATAATGGGGAAAGGGAGAAGCCAACACAGAGAGATTTATACATTATCCGTTGTTTTTATTGCTTTTCTCTCTGTGTGTGTGGCTATCTCTAGAATGTTACCAAATGATATTCAATTCGTTTATAATCTTTTCTTTTTTTTTTATTTGGGGTTGGATGATTCTTCATATTGTTTGCATAATCTGTATTTTCCTTAATGGGTATCTACCTCCGTTATATTCATGGTTGACACCATATATGTATGTGTGTGTAATGTATATTGTATGGAGTAATAGTGCTGTACTGGTGCTTTTATTTTCTCTTTCTTCTTCTTTCTTTCTTTTCCACACTCCCTGCATAGACCTGTGACCTCAAGTGACGAGAATAACAACAAGAACAAGAAAAAGAAGAGGATTGATGATGATGGGCCGTGTGATGTGTGTGTTGGCCGTTGTGCTCTGCTGCGCCTGCGGGTATACCATGGCGGTTGCTGCTACTACTGATGGACAACCAAAGGCAGTGATGGCGATTGAAAGTGGTTCTGATGGTGATAACTTTCCTATATTGGTAGATGAGGATGGTACGGGTGAACTGAATCCTGATGATAGTCTTCCTCCTGCTAGACCTGTAAAAGGGCCTCAAGTTGATACCGAAGTTGAGAGATCCCCTAGAGAAAAAGAAATTGCAACTCTAGTGAAGAGCGTCGAGGGCCTATCTGAAGGGGTGGGATACGTGAAATTTGTTGAGAATCAAACGGCGCTGATAAACCAAACGGTTGGTGAAGGGAGTAGACAAAACGGTGCTGCAGCTACAGATATTTTGCCCTCAGACGCTAATAGTGCAGTAAGTGCGTCATCATCCGTTGCCGCAAGCTCATCAAGCACAGAAACACACTCTCCAGGAACACCATCAACCAACACGACACCCTTAAACTCATCTGAGGTTGTTGATTCCAATCAAGCTAACTCGCAAGTACTCTCTGAAACTACCACAGAAGGCAGTGATGTCAAGGAGCCTAATATAGCACAAGAATCACCTGCAGAGTCGGGTGCCCTCACAACAAAAGGTTTGCATGGAAATGACAATGCTAGTTCAGCAGCTACTACCGTGAAGAATAAGGCTAATGTTGACAGCAGTGTGAGTCTTGTGTGGATGCGCACTGCAGCACCGCTGCTGATTGTGGTTGTGTTGTTCTCCGCTACCGTGTACTGAACGGTGGGACTCATCTAAGGACAAAATAATAATAATGGTTAAACTAACATAATCATATTTGCGTGCATCCACCCCATGGGTGAATAAATTAATAATCTGTTTACCAGCTTTCTCTTTTAATTGGAATTTCTTTTCTTTACATTTATGTGTGTGTTCTTTTTATATTAATTCCATTACTTGCTTTTTCCGTTGTGTGTTTGCAGAAAACTGGGCTGTTCTGCTCACTGACGGTATACATCTCTTGCTAGTACACACAGATGTGTGTGTGTGTGCAGTAATTTAATATACATAAACTAGGGCCATGGGGTATTGTGTGTGTGTTTGGCTCTCTCTTATTTGGGTATTGTGGGGTTTTCTTTTTTTTCCTTTTCTATTAATGGATACATATTATTATAATAGAAGCGGGATATTCCTTTTTGTTGCTTACTGTGGAGTTGTTGCATCTCTCTCTCTGTCCCACTGTGAGTATTTGTTGTATTGGTGTATGTGTGTGTCTCTTTTCTTTCTCGCTGTTTTTTTTTTTGTGTTCCTCTTTCTTGTTTCAGTCTATTGAAGTAAACACCAACAATGACAAAGGCTGTAATGGTGAGATGCTACCTGCTCTGTTTATTAACTCTTTCACTGTGTTGTGCTTCTGGGTTAGTATGGGCGGATAGTCCTAAAGCTTCTGAGTCCAGTAATTGTGTTACTTTTGTTGGTGTTCCTCCTTTTATTGTTAAGACTGTTCCTTGCGATGAGGCCCGTAATGCTCCTACGGCTGCTGAACCCACACAACCTGCTCCAGGTAAACCGGGTCCTGATAGTCGTGGTGATCCTAGTGGGAGAGAAGTTAACCAAGTCACTACGAATTCGCATCAAGAGCAAGAAGTATCCCGAGGTGATAAAGAAGAGTTAACAGTTGATTCTGAAAATAAAGGTAGATCAGGAAGTCAGGCTGGTCAACAAACCTTAGAGGCAGACGGCACCCCATCAGGTACTCGGGGACACAATAATCATGTTTCTTCCCCTGAGTCTGCAAAAGGCCGGGATATACAAGTAACTGAAGAGCA